CACCCGCCCGCCCTTTCCAAAAAAGCGCCTGATTTCACCACGATGACATACATTTGTTTCTTCAGCCACACACCTGTGCTGACGTCCAAGGTTCGAACCCCCGTCCTGTGGTTACTCTTTCCAACGGCCTGGAAGTTGTCTGTGACACTGTGACAGACAATGGAGGTTGGATTGTTATGCAGGTAAGAATGACCTTGTTAGAACTTCACTTGAGTTCTGGCAGGTTATACAGTAAAAAATGACCTAGTTTTTATAGGCACTTAAATTATTTAAAAAGTGAGCCGAAACTTTACTTCCTGTTTGATCCAAAAAATAATTGGTAACCAATTGATAGGTTTTATACATTAGATGCAAACTGCCAAATAGAGAGCTTTAGTCATTGTTAGCTGAGATGTTTTGTTTGGGCGATAGGCCCTTCTAGATTTCCTGGTCAAGCAACTAAAGGCCAGGGGTCATCAATTAAAGGGTGTAAATGTAAGTCACCTCGTGGCTGCTTCGAGAAAATGAAAAAAACCCCAAAAAACAAGAACGCATGTACTGGACCAATTTTTAAAAAATCATTTAGGAGAGAGAGAGAGAGAGAGAGAGAGAGAGAGAGAGAGAGAGAGAGAGAGAGAGAGAGAGACGTTTTCATTCGTTTAACGAATCGTACCTACATTTTTTTAAAATTTGTTTCTTCAACATTTAGAATTCGAATGTCCACAAAATATTTCCTGAGCACATAGAAACTATACAACATATAAAAAACTGCATTAAAAAAAATCAACATAGTTGGGCGCACAAGTGTGCTCCTCCTGGAGCGATTCGACTGTACTGTCAATTCGTTACCTTAGATTTACAAAGTTCTATCTGACATTTTGGCCACTTTGAGTTACTAGACCACGAGAACAGCCGCGAGAACAGAAATCAGGTGTTCTTTCTGCTCTTTCAAGATCGTGGAGTTATTTTCAAGATATATTCAAAGAATTATGTTATTCGAAAAAGGTTGACATGTTGTAAAACTCAAAAATTTTAAGGTCAAATTTCTCAGAACTAGGTACCGAGCAAATAGGCTTTGTAATTCTAAGATTGCTACCCAGGGTTTCGATGTACATTTGTACAGTGGTCAGTGAGTAAACTGTTTCTCCAACGTGTCCCCAGAGACGAGCGTCTGCCGACGTGGACTTCTACCTTAACTGGGTAGACTATAAGTACGGCTTTGGGGATGTCTACGGCAACTTCTGGCTCGGCCTGGAGAAAGTCCACCAGCTGACGTTCAAAGCAAGTATTGTTGTTGTTGGTTGTGGTGGTGGTGGTGTTGCTGTTGTTGTCGTCGTGGTCATTGTTGTTCTTGTTGCTGCTGTTGCTACTGCTGTTGTTGTTGTTGTTTTGGTTGTTAACATGTTGTTTGATTCCATTCAATTACGATGATGATGGTGATGATGATGATGATGATGAAAAAACTCTCCTTTTGAATTGTTGCCCAGTGTTGCATATTGGTGTTACGTTAAAACAGCAATAAGTGATATTAATTTTTTAAATTTTTTTGGGCTTTGAATTTAACAGAGACGGTACGAACTGAGGATTGATATCACATTCAACGGACAGGACTACTATGCTAACTACGATAACTTCACTCTCTTTGGAGAGCCGGAGAACTACAGAATCCGGGTATCTGGATATTCGGGTAATTCATCTGATGGACTAGGCTACCACAATGACCGGCCTTTCACAACCAAAGACCGCGACAACGATGCGCACGGAACCAACTGCGCCGCACAGTTCCACGGTGCTTGGTGGTACGGCGCCTGCCACAACTCCAACCTCAACGGCAAATGGGGAAGTCACGAATACGCCGAGGGCTTGACTTGGGACACCACCACCGGCGATTACGATACCCCTACTTTTACTGAAATGAAGATCCGGCCTCTCGATTCTTGAGACAGAGCTCGCCGGCAGGCATACTTTTATGACTTTCATGTTATACAATTTTCTGAATGCTCAAAACAATGATTTGATATATCTTTGAAGAAAAAAAAAAAAAAAAAAGGACAATAAAAAAGAAAAAAATATTGCCCTGCTTTCTTTGCGTTACTTTTTCCTTTTGCTCCCACTGTCAGCAAAGCATGTTTTCTTGAAACATTAACATAAAACTTGATGTTTGGGCACAATTTCCACTTTGTTGTATCTGGTCTATGTGGTGTAAAAGAATAGTTGATCCCGGCCAGCCTCGACTGGTAACAATCTGACCCCGCACGGACCTGGAGAGATTCACGGGACTGGAGAGACCCGGTACTCACGAGTGAGTAAAAAGAGGGACCGAGTCATCAGGGCAGACAGCAGTGGCCATTCGAGGCGGACAGTCGCGCCAGATTGTAGAAAGAAATAACATCCATCTAGAAGGGGGCCCCTTATCTTCACCTACAAAGAAACATCGAAAAAACCTGGAACACAAGGTGAGCACTTATTCTACAAGCTATTTCGGCCTACCAGGACATTTCACAGTGGCTTCGCAATCGTTTTCAACTCTCAAAGTGTCAGAGATGGTTAGGGTGTTTAGTGGGGAAGGCGACGTTGGGGCATGGATTCAAAAAGTGGAACTGGTGGCGATATTGACTAAGGTGAAAGATCTGGCAGCGTTTATTCCATTATACTTAGAAGGGAGTGCGTTAGCTATATATTTAGATTTGTCCGACAAGGATAAAGAAGATGCGTAGGTTATAAAGAGGAAACTGGTGGAAGCTTTTTCAGATAGTAGGTTTGCTGCATACAGTAAGTTGAAATCAGCGAGATGGACTGGAGAGCCAGTGGACGTTTTCGTCAATGACATCAGGAGAATGGCCAGAGAGAGTGGGCTGACGTGGAGTGGATTGGAGGAGGTAGTGAAGCTGAGTGTCGTGACTGGGTTTCCGCAGGACATTAGTATAGAACTACAACAGATCCAGGGGATCATTCAGGTGAATGAGGTAATTGGTAGGGCAAGGGTTCTTGCAACTAGGGCTGGAACAGGGTCAGTAGTATCCCATAGCGTGACAGCAGCCAGTGTAAAAGGGAAGAGAGAAGGCATTAAGTGCTTTAGATGCAGTGGTTTTCACTTCGACAAAGATTGTCCAGAGAGAAAAACAATCGTTTGCTTCAAATGTCACAAGAGGGACACATTGCCAGACGGTGTAGAACTCTAACCTCAACGAAGGGCAAGGATAATCCTGATCCCTACATGTGCGCAGGTGCTAAAGTACGGACGGCGGGATTGCAAGGTGTGCCGGTGATATCGTGTGATGTTGAAGGGAGACCGTGTAGGGCGATGGTAGATACAGGTTGTACGACGAGTGTGGTGAAAAGTAATGTCGTGACAAACTGGTCAGGGGAGAGCAAAATGGTAGCAGTGGATGGTGGTCGTGCTGCCGAGTGTAGAGGAGTTACGAGGGTGTTGTTGACCGTTGATGGTGCTAAAGTGAAGTCAACTGTTACAGTGGTAGATCAGATCGTTAATGATGTCGATGTGATTATGGGAATGGACATAATTCAGCAGTTGGGTGGAGTACTTGTTTGTGGTGAGCGGGTTCAATTTGGCAACTTGGCTTGTTCTATTCAATGCAGTTTAGGAAAAACAGAAGGTGTGTCGACTGGCAGTAAACGCCGTGACTATATTCAAGATAAAGATTTTGAGGCATCTTTTGACGGTGATAAATGGACTGTTAGGTACTTCTAGAAAGAAGGACCAGAGCCACGCTTGACGAACAAAACCCCTCTATATGATCACGGATTTACTGGAGCAACAAAGGAAGCTTTTGATCGCGAAATACAAAGGTGGATTGAAGAAGCAATTCTAGTTCCATGGAACGGAGATGTTGACAGCATTATTCCCTTCATGGGGGTAGAGCAGGTGACCAAGAACAAGGTGAGGCCGGTGTTAGACTTCAGAGAATTGAATAAATTTGTGGAATGCCACACTGGTGGGGATGCGTCAGATGTCTGTCGTGATCGGCTTAGAGAGTGGAGGCAAATTGATGGCGATGCAGAATTAGTGGACCTGAAGTCAGCCTATCTTCAAATCCATGTGGGCAAGGAGTTGTGGAAGTATCAGCTGGTTGAAGTTGATGGTAAGGTGTATGCGTTGACCAGGCTAGGTTTTGGACTAAGTTCTGCACCCAAGATTATGTCGAAGATACTGAAGTTGGTGTTATCACGGAGACCTGAAGTAAAAAAGGCAACACGTTCATATATTGACGACATCATGGTAGATGTGACTAGTATTACAACATGGGACGTTGTGGCTCATTTAAAAGACTATGACCTAGAATCGAAAAGTCCAGAGAAGTTGGACGAGGGAGCGGTGTTGGGCCTGAAGTTGAACAGGAATCAACAGGGGGGCTTGGTTTTCTCTCGTGCAAATGAAATTCCTAGTATGGACCAACTTCACCGTAGACTTTCACGCAGGGAGGTCTTTTCAATTTGCGGTAAACTGGTCGGACACTACCCTGTGGCCGAGTGGCTGCCCATAGCCTGTAGCTTTGTGAAGCGTCAAACTGAAGGGAGTATATGGGACGAATATGCTGGAGATAGTGCTTGTGCATTAATGCGAGATGTATTGGGACAGGTTCATAGAGAATACCCAGTGCAAGGCCAGTGAAGGGTGCCGAAGAATACTAAAGAGGTTGTGTGGTGTGATGCGAGCAATTTGTCGCTGGGAGCAATAGTGGAGATAGGCTGTGTGGTGGTAGAAGATGCTGCGTGGCTGAGGAAGAAGGATGACTTTAATCACATCAATGGTGCAGAGTTGGAGGCAGCTTTGAAAGGAGTGAACCTTGGAGTACAGTGGGGGTTGAAAGACATCAAACTGATGATAGACTCTGTTACCGTGTGTGAGTGGATCAGAACGATGCTGTCAGAAGAAAGAAACGTAAAGACTAAGGGAGCGGCAGAGGTGCTGATAAAGAGACGACTGGGCGTGCTAAAGAGTCTGATAGAAGAACTAGGGCTGGAGGTTGAAGTTATATGCGTGGCGTCAGCATCCAACAAAGCAGATAAGTTGACTAGAGTCAAGAGAGAGTGGTTGCATACACATGGCATACCGTCAACGGTCTGAGCGGCTTCATTGGGTGACGTGAAGGCTCCGCATGAACAGCATCACTTTGGGGTGGAACGAACCTGGCATCTGGCGAGACGAGTACACCCTTCTGTGACTAACGATGCAGTGAAGAAGGTGGTGCGTGCATGTGAGAGATGCCAATCCATTAATCCTGCAAGCGCTCAGCACGAACCTGGAGAGTTGGGGGTAGACTAAAATTGGAAGAGGATGGCCATAGATGTGAGCCACTACCGAGGCCTTCCATACCTGAACATGGTGGACTGCGGCCCAGGAAGGTTTGCGATTTGGAGGGAGCTGAGAAACGAGACTTCGCATTCCATTTGTAAAGAGATCGAGCAGGTATTTCGGGAGAGAGGCCCTGTGGATGAATTGTTAATGGATAATGCGACTGCATTTAGATCAGCGGAGATGGGAGAGCTCTTACGCCGGTGGAGGACTATGCCATATTACAGGGCTGCTTATAGAGCTTCCGGCAATAGAATAGTTGAAAGAAATCATCGCACCATAAAATCTATTGCAGAGAGAGCTCAGATTTCTCCCATGGAGGCTGCTTTTTGGTACAATATGTCGCCCAGAAACGGACAGAAAGAGTCAACGATTCCCCAGCGTTCTGTTTTTTCTTACTCTAGGAGGCATCCTGAGGTGGAGCCCCCAAATGATCATGAAGGCGCGCAACCGGTCGTGAGTGTCGGTGATGAGGTTTGGGTGAAACCGCCATTTTCGAGGTGCACTTCACAAGGGACAAAAGGGGTAGTTTCTGGGATCAACTCTAGCAACAACATTGAAGTAGATGGCATGCCTAGACACGTACTGGATCTGAGGCCAGTGGTCAACCCAGAGATGGAGGAGCAACCGCTACAAGAGGATGTACCTACAGATGTTGGAGTGCGTCGTTACCCTGAGCGACATCAGCGCGTCCCTGCGTGGGTGCAGGACTATGTGATGTAGGTTGATACGAACAGTCATTGGTGGGTTATTGTATATATAGGTGTGTAAGGATATGACTGCCTTTAAATGTGAACGTACGGGTGTTACATTTGGACATTTTCAGTTTAGAATTATTCGAACTATTTTTGGTTGGACTTTTTCCAGTATTGTGCGAGTTATTTGAGCGGTTTTAGATTACTTTTCTTTAAAAAATAACAAGTTCAGTCGGGTTGTTTGTGGTGATCTTAAGATC